CAGCAACTTTGTTTGAAATGTTATCCTTTTTTACCAGAGGTAAGCTCACACTAGTGTTTATTGATTCAACTTACGAGAAACCTGTGTATTGAGATTTATGGTCGATCGACCACGGCTTTTTCTAGTGGCTGCTGGAATCCAATCAACTGGTGCAAATAGATGTTTAACTACCAAAGAGGTTGATAACTCCGGCAAACTGTCTCATTAATATCCCCGAACTGGTTTGAAGCGGGAGGAAAAAACGTGGACCTTGGACAAGCAAAAATGCAATGCACTTTTCGTTCGTATCAGACAGGTATCTAGCGATGCACGTCACAATCACGTTCCCTCGATGGTCGCATCTTACAATCCCTACACCATTACCAGTCAACCCTCCCACTTCATGTTAAGCTATGACAGAGCTTTCCTTTTTCCCGAAAACAAATCGTACAACAAAGTATTCAAAATAATAGAGAGGTAAATAGAATAAGGCGGGTAATAATTTCCAAACAATTGCAGTCATTTTCTTTGCTGATAATGCACATAGACTGCACTTCGCTTCCCTTACAATGTTTTCACCCAGATTAGCTTGTTCTATTCATAACGCATGAAACACTGTCAGTTACGACTCGATATTTTCTTTTTCTGCACGTCGATCGACGAAAGAAACCGTCGAACCAATGACCACGATGTATCTCTAATTGGGTCAGCTTGACACTTGCAATCGTTTCTAAAGTAAACTGCGTTTTGTGTACTCGCGTATGTGTATGTGGTTGTCTTGCTGAACGCACCCAGTCGATTTGTTCCGTTTCCTTGTCTCATCGGTCACATTTGGAATGTTATCCACCCAAATGGTGTACAGTACACAATCCGAAATGATTGACTTACTCGTACCATTCAGTCACGAAAAATCACAGAAAATGTTAGTGCCACGGATGAATCCAATAGCATTTGGACAATCGCATTTGTCCCCGCGACTGTCCTTCATATAGGCAAAAGTGAAGCAGCAGTCAGCTCTGTCCCCCCAGGTGTATCGATCCCAGTTCTTTGACTTAGCTGAATTCTGCTTGTACTCCAGTCTTGTTAAAGTCAGATTGATGTTTTGCATGAAAATTAGCCTAATCAATTTGCGGACTGTCATTTGAATACAGGTTTTGCAAGTGAATTCGTATTAAGAAATTACGTTATCATTCCCTGGGTCCATATTCAGATGATAAGTGACCAACAGATAGCACAAATGGAGGTGTGTAAATCGAATACAAGTACGCAGTTAACATAATAGTCTGGAGAAATCATGAAAACTACGGTCCAGATGAACCAGAAAACGGACAAGGATAATGGCTCCGACGGAACTGTCGGCTTCCGTACGTGCTTGAAGGTGTGTACTTGGACGGATTAGGGGAGATGAAAATACATTTAAATAGTGAGGAATTACCAGAATGACTCTGGGGTCAGAGAGCATGTAATGAGCCATCTTATCGCAAGCTTGGGTCTGTTTGGAGACAAGGGGATGCTTGCTTTACTCTGGTACACCAATGTGGATAAGTGATCTGGATATCATGCAGAAATCCTTTTGTTGTAAAACAGGAAAGAAATCACTGCGGGAGGGCATAGAGCGAGTGTGGTTGAATGCACACATGTACGAAGTCTTATGTCAGTTGCAAGTGAATGGATAAGAGCTTTAGTTAGAGGGCACAAAACGAACTACTTCTGATCTTTGCAAAAATATTCTCTATATGGTCATACGAAATGGGAGAATGGTTAAAAATAGCGTACAAATATTTAAGTGAAGTTCTATGAATAAGAATGGCTGGTACGTCTCAAAAGAGAATCAGATTATCGCTTCCCTCGACAGAGAGAGAGAAAGGATAAAAGTTAACCCATTTAGATAGGTCCATAGAGAGGACGTCTGCAGAAGACCGCTAGTTAATTTGTGAGGGCAGAATATAAGGGAGGATGAGCCAAAAATAATCTCATCAGTATAAGTGATCAGTTTAGAATCATCGTGAAAATGCGAACAGACTGTGTGTGGAAAAGTGGAAAGCAGAAACTACGAATGTAACAAAGATACCTACTTTGGTAAACTATTTTCTGCTTGCTTGACTCAGCGATTTTTTTCACATGTGGTTCACGAAGCACCAAACTATAGATTTGCCAATTTAGCCAGTTAATGTCTTCCTGCGATCGAAATCTCAGTGATAAAGAGCACTGGACAACTGCTTCGTCCATTTTGGGACTCGTCACCAATGCGTACTGTTTTTGAGTCCCTGTTAGGAATCGACGAGCGATCTCTCGGGTTGAAAGGCGAAACCCTTACCCCTAGGCTGCACAGTGGACGTTCAACACCTGGACAGAAAGGCTACATCATGTTGGAGTATTTTATTTGAGCTAGCACATTTAGCTTTTTACAGTGACCCGGCACAGTTCATCGCCATGGTTGTGGGTTTCCTTCCTTGGGAGCCCGTGACTTCCCCATATGTTAGACGAATTTACTTGCACTTAAAGCAGCGGGGGAGATACATAACACATACACGCACACACACACACACACATACACAAAACACGCAGGAAAGACAGGTGACATCAAAATCACTTAGAGCACCATAACTCACTGCTATTTGACAGTCACTTCGAACCAAAATTATGTTAATACTAAATGCTTGCTTTATCTCATGTGTAAATGCAGAGCAGCTGAAGTGTGTGAGGATAGTGCACGGATATGAAGGAATTTAAACTGAATAATATTCGCTAAAACCAAATAGTTGGATTTCATCACACTTTGCTTTGAAAGTTACGATAGCTGAACAAAAAGTTTCCAAATGAACAAATGTTTTATTTTTTACACAAAAGTAAGCAGTGCGGTAAACTTGTGTTATTTGTCCTGGTAGTGTAGGCTGTCATCATTGCACGATTGGACAGTAGCCAGCACAAGGGGTGACACAAACATTACGAATCGGTGACCAGTCAGTCTCGTGTCCATTTTAAAGGTTACAAGTTGTGCAAATCACGAAAAATCATTCATTCTAGTAACAAAACTGTTCGAAAGGGGAGTTAGTCGTGCGAGAAGTCAATGTAAAACGTACAAACAACAGCACTGTACAACCTCAAAAGTGTTATCCGGATCGAGTCGAGAACCAAAACCAACCAGATAATCCGGGCCGTAATTGAGTTGAACCATTCATTTGAGCCCAGTTAGGAACACCGTCTGTAGGAGACCCCTTATCCAAACGCGATAATCATACCTAGTCCATTTGGTTGACATCGACCACGAGATCCACTCGGAATAAGCTTTCGATATTACACATCAGTTACCCGCAGTCAAAATGAGTCAGTTCAGTTGTGAAAAAAACTAAGCAGAACTCACTGTAATCTGCAGAATTTCTCAAAAGTTTTGTCGTACTACTTCCTTGTAGGGCTTAGGTGGTGTTTGCATCGAATTTCCTGATCATGTCCCGTTTTGCCATCACTTAATGATGTTTCATTTTCCATTTACTCCGTTACCACGGCTTTGGTGGTTTCAGCCTCACAAAACACAAGGGGTTCCTTTTCAAAATGAATATTGTTTTGCTTTGGTATTTCTCTCCAAAACCAGGAATATGATCCGTACTGGAACAGCTGGCGTATTGTTGGCCAACTACCAGGGCAACGGCAACAGTGTGGCTGTATTGTTCTACAAGATGGACGATTGTTGGTTGTTGGTGGGCGGGATGAATTGAAAACCCTCAGCACTGTCGAGTGCATTTATACAGACGAGTTAATGCAATCGGGAGATGGAACACATCAGGGTACACTCAGAGAGGATCGAACGAATGGGTGCCGTGGATCTTCACAGCTGAGTCGACGTACGCGCACCTCCCGACCAAGTCTCGGATCGGGAAACGGGGAGTTTGACGGTACACTAACTCGTCCTTCCGGGTCTGGTGACGGAAGTACGGAGTCCGATTCACAGAAGGCGGCATCCAGTTCTTCAACACAAGCAAACGAATCCAGTGGTGAAACACAACCAGGATGGAATGTGGTCTCCGCGATGGCTACCCACAGGTAGGGCAACAATCTAATAGTTTCCCTATATTGAAAGAAAATCATTTAAGTGTGAATGTTTACTGAACTAATAACACCGAATTCTCCACAAAATGACTCTCACGCTTCTATTCCGGATTAGGGTGCATCATGCAAGTATGCCCATAACTGTTGGTTGCATGTTTGCACAATTAGGTTTTGAAATGGACCCGCATCCGAGATTCGATCACTGTCTAAGTAAAGACAGCCCAGTTCCAACAACAGAGACGGTTGCAGGGCATGTACAGGTCTAATCGAAACTGAAGCAACAGGTCCCTGTGAAACACTTGTGTGTTCGTATGGGCAACAGTATTTATACTAGAGTAATTTATTTTCCAAATAATAATAATATTAATAATAATGTTCACTTGAAACCAACCGCCCAAACCGACCCAAGTAACCCACCAGTATTGCTCTCAAAATCGCACGTCCGAATTCTTGTCGCCACGGGCTCGGTGAATAAGCACTTCTGATAATTCTCGAACGATACAAAAACGGTCGTTCTGTACTTCCGCGGGATTGGTTACGCTATCCATCAGAGAATAAATTTGCTCTCAATCATCAAATTTTCTGCTAATTCGTAGAGCCCCTCTGTAAGTATGAACAGAGAAATTAAGGGCACGGTGTTGTGTAATTGATTCCTGGAAAACAAACTCCACTGTATAGCCTCACATTCATGTCATAGTCGAACTGTTAGGAAGAAATAAGTTGTAGGTACAGTGGCTGACCTATTGGCGGTAACGTTGAACACTGTTCCATTTAGCCGAACCGAGAGTTATGGTTAGCTCCTTTGCTCGCACAATCTATAGATATCCTTCAATGGATGCCACTTGTCTTGAGAAAATCAGACACGGAGGCAGAGAAACTCTGACCAATGTGGTCACGCTCACTCAATAATGTTCAGTCAGTATGTCGTGGGACATCTCTGATGCCGATGCGCCGTGGTGGGATGACCTTAGACCTTGACCCACTAACTGTGATTCCAAATGACAATTCGTCGCGTATATAGCAAATGAAGGGTGAACTGAAAAGCTCGGAAGCACTGGACAGCTGTTTCGACCTGGTTGGGTCGATGGGTTCGCACTGCTGATGAGACCCAACCAGGTCGAAACAGCTGTCCAGTGCTTCCGAGCTTTTCAGTTCACGCTTCATTTGCTATATACACGACGAATTGTCATTTGAAATTCAACCAAATCCTCCATTACCCACATGAANCCAACGGTTAACCTTTGTCTCAACTGTCAGTCGATTCCACTTTGGTAGCTGGTCAGGAGGCATCCATGGTCAAATTACCGCAACTGATGTCATAGTCAAGATTAACTTTGTGCACCCGAAGAAGGAGCTTTTAGCAGCTCAGGAAATTTTTAGAGGATTGCAAACGAAGTTCTCTAGAATGAACGCAGCAAAACTGTGCGAATAGTAATACTAGAGCACTAGCACATTGCATCATATCGCAAGCCAAAACATGGAATAATCTTATTAATATCCGCTTCACACAGGTCTGTTTCGCTTTCCGTTCAAAAGACAGACTAATTTTGAGTCAGTCTAACAATTTATGACTTCAAGTTCCGTTTTTCCATTTCCAAACTCCGTTTCACCCGGAAGACATGGCCTAGGCGTGGCTGTCCTCGAGGGAGTGGTCTATGCAGTGGGTGGTCATGACGGTTGGTCGTATTTGAACACGGTCGAACGATGGAACGGGAAAGCGAAAGCTTGGTCTTCCGTTACACCGATGGCAGTGCAACGAAGTACGGTCGGTGTAACCGCCCTTGATGGTTTGTAAGTTCAACAGGAAAAAATAAATTTTTCACCTATCAATCGCGTGTTTAAAATTGTTGTTTCCCAGAGCTGTTCGATGCAGACTGGCTTCGATTTCTGAAATAGGCATTCCATTCGATGTAGATTGCTGGTTTTACCACCGACGTACTTTTAAGAATGACAAAAATAGCAATGAAGATCATATCATGAATTTGCATAAGGCCACTTTCGTCGTTCGCAATGAAGGCCAGTGGATTGCAGGGCTGTATCATCATCATAGCATCAATTCCATCATCTTCGGCAATAATTCCCGTTCCCATACCCGTGAACTATCCCCAATCAGTGACTCCTCGATTCTCCTCGATTCCTAAATGAGGATTAACCTCATAAGTGCACTGAAATGTTACACCAGTTAGGCCAGCAATCTACATATGTGCGTAGCATGTACCAGAAAACGTGAAACACGTACGGAAGGTGTTATTGATTGCATAGCGCAGTAGATAAATGTGATCGGGTGAGATGAATCACGTGGGGATAGCTGATTGGTTAGAAGGTGAAATGAAAGGGATGCAGTAAGTTATCACTCATTGATCGAAGCAAAATTGATGTGTGATATAACTATTGGTTCACGGATAAATGCTTTATAGCTGCAATAATGTATGGCATATGTTGCTCTGTCGTTGGTTAGTTTGAACAAAGCACTTACATGTCTGTTAGAAGAACCAGCACTACCGAATTAATTGTGACGTATTACCGGCGAAAGTTTCGTCCCCATGACAAATATGAAAAACAAAACTGCACACATTACAGAGCAACGGGTTTCTAAGTGTGGTTTGAATTTGCTTGGAATATTTTTTACCTTCGTTCTGTGATTTTTCCATTTGAAATCAGCTGCAGCATTCTTTATTTTCGTACCAAATAAGTGCAACTTTGTTACTCTAAATTACTTGAGTTACATAAAGAAGACGGCAGTCAACTGTTTAGCTCAGATTTTCGACTCCCAGCCCGAAAGTCGGCGCTTCGAGTTTCGGTAGAGAAGAAGAATTACGCACTGATGACGCGTTCCAAAAAGAACCACAAAGCTGTCTAGTACTCTTCGTCGGTCATCGCAGACACTTCTAGGTTATGCAGAATGGTTAGCACTTTGTCGCAAACTATACCAGTCACAGTAAGGATAAATAGTCACAGCGGTTGCGTTCCAGCACATCAGCCCATCTTCATCGACTTGTCTACGTGAGTAGTGTTCTATCCGAGTTAAATACTCAGGCCCAATATACCAATCCGATTTTGGGTTGGAATGCGGACATAGTGCGCGTTATAAGCCATACGAGCACATTTTCCCTTTATGTGAAGAATTCCAAACCGATTTTAATACAATCGCTAATCGACTGGTACATGACTAGCATATAACACGAGGCGTGCGACTTAAGAGTTACGTTCGTCAGAATGAACGAGTATGATAATTAACAGAATACTTTGTATTCAATTACCAAAAGTGACTACATTCAAACTGTACAGACAAGCTCAAAAGACTTACCATATTTCCACCGCGGGTTGACCAATTCAAAGGTTTCCAACATCCTCTGGTGTTTAAAAGAATGATGAAACATTGATTAGAAAGATTGATACACACGAACAAGCCCATTGAATTTCCGCAAATTGATTCTCGAGGGAAATCTGTCAATCATTCTGATCTTTTAACTACTAGCTAATTGAGATTTCAATATTCCAGGGATTTTTTTCTCACCCAGTTAAAATCTGTCCTTTAATTAGGAGACCAACCCATCGCAAATCAATAATTACCTACAGCTATTCAACAATCGCACTATTTGCTTTCTTATAAATTTCAAGAGAAAAGACCACATTGCAATACTGCACGATTTATATCCAGGAAGATTTAGCTGCATCTCAACATGGTGCATACTGCAGAAAATACAATGTTTATATAGGGCTTTAGCATAGCAAAATACATTAAAAACAGACAAAACATAAAAGAGGGAGGGGCAAAAGAACCAATATCACCAGGGTAGGGAGAGCATATCATGAAGTTATTTTCGCTGACATAGGGGGGGGCTTCCATCGATTAATCGCAATCGCTTCAGCAAACCTTAGCAATCTTGCGACTTGTGACTTGTAGACAATTCGAAACGCTGACCTTAATTGGGTCAGCTGATTTTGGACCCAATTTGGAATATGTTCCACCACCCGATTGCGTAATTGTCGCTCTGTTCGGCCCGCAACCACATTGGAGTTGCTAGATTAGATTAGAGTTGGCGTACAGAGGCAGACGTTTCTTTGCCGGGGGTGTGCATATCCTGGTTGTCCGGTAGACGATTTGGGGATCGGCTGCGTAGTAGGTTCGAGCGATTTCTGACCTCAGTCGTTTGTAGCGCAGGTGGATTATCATCACCTTTGAATTGAAGATGCAATGTGACCCGCAATTTCGGAACTGACGCAATCGATTCTTTCGCAATTTTCGGTTTGCTATGTTTATTAACAAACGCTTCGGGGTAAGCGTTTGTTGCTAAAAACTCTCGGAGGTTTTGCAGTTCCTGTTCATTTCTGTTTGGATGTAGTGTGTTGAGTTCATCCATAATTTTCGTAGCCTCTTCTAAGCTTTCTGTTATAACCAGAGTGTCGTCGACGAGGATAGCGCGCCCAGAATATTAGTTCCTTTTTCTTCCAGATGTGCCATTAATAAGTCGCGGTGTTCGAATGGACAACAACACCAGGTCGACCGAGGCACAGCTTTTCGAATTGTCTACAAGTCACAAGTCGCAAGATTGCTAAGGTTTGCTGAAGCGATTGCGATTAATCGATGGAAGCCCCCCCCTATGTCAGCGAAAATAACTTCATGATATGCTCTCCCTACCCTGGTGATATTGGTTCTTTTGCCCCTCCCTCTTTTATGTTTTGTCTGTTTTTAATGTATTTTGCTATGCTAAAGCCCTATATAAACATTGTATTTTCTGCAGTATGCACCATGTTGAGATGCAGCTAAATCTTCCTGGATATAAATCGTGCAGTATTGCAATGTGGTCTTTTCTTTTGAAATTAATCTCGGGAAAGGTTTGTTTCAGTTTTCTAATAAATGCCATAATTTGGCAGCATTTCATCTGCAAACATACTTATAGCTACGGATATTGCTGCCGTAGTTTCGAGGTGAATAACTTGTCACATTTCACTCACCCTGAAGAGTCAATCAACTCACTTATGGGAATTCACAAAACCACATTTAGATTATTCGTGCATTTAGCTTTCTGACGCATTTCCAATGTTCGGGAGTTTATTCACCCCCCCCTCTCCTTGTGTGAAACGTATTTTTGCATACCATGAGGATTTGAGTTTGTTGGCAGCTATGAAC